ATAATATGGCTTGTGGGGTACGAGCTGACGACAAGCAGCTGCGGCTGCTATCTATACGTACATCACGATCTGTGTTTATGAGTATGTACGATGACGGCAGAGCACAAACGGCGGTTCAGCCACTGATGCTATAAATAACAACAAGAGCTAATAAGTACTACCCTCTTATTATTAACAGTATATATTAATGCCTGTTGTTGGCGGGCATATGCTCTCATAGTGTTGCTGAGGGAAGGTATAGTCCTTCCCAAAAGCAACACTATGACAGCATAGTGCGCCCCGACAACAGGCATTAATGTTTTTAGTGCATCACATTGACTTTGGGCAATCTACTCGGCAAATATGAAGTGAATAAGACAAAGTTTCTTAAACAACAATTTCAATTTGTATTAACTGTCTACGTCAGCGAATTTTCTAACGCACCAGCAGTAGTATATTTGGGTGTTAGTTGTAGAAAATACCAATGTATGAAAATACAATTAGTATTTTCTGTTTTACTTTTCATTGCTTATATACTTCTTTATGACTCCGCTATTTGCCGCGTGCATTCGACTGTAACAAAACGCTCGACACAAACACAACCGCCAGTTAATTGCGAAACTCATTACGTGAGCGCCCAGAACAGAGATTCGTGACGCTGAACACAAATGCGTTATAATAACAATGCGTCGGCGCAAGCAATTAGTGCCCCTCAGGCGGCCACTATTGCTTGTCATAGTACTGCGACGTTATCAATGAATTTCAACGATTTATCACGTGAGCACTATAAATCATTATTATTAGCTCTTGATAACAAAACGATTCAAGCGCGTTAACGCCGTACGACTTCTTACGCGTACGTCAAAAGTACGGCCTGCGCGCACAGAGAGTGAGGACACCGGATGCAAACGGCCGGCCATGTTTGTACACCCCGTCGATCTAGCGTGTGTTGTGTGTGTGCGTGTGGTGCGGTGCGGGCGTGCGTGCGTGCGTGTGTGCGTGCTCATTTAGCGTCATTGCACAAAGCCTACGTTGTGCAGCCTTGCGTGTAAATACGGTAATACGTAGGGTCAAGCTGCGCGTTATGCGACAGCAACTGCGTGAAACTCTAACCTAGCAAATTAGAGAGAAGCTTAGTACAAGTCAGCGCTATAATTTAGGATAGCAAGAGGAGGGAGGAGGGGAGGAGTAGAAGAAGGTGGAAGAGAAGAAGAGGGTTCATGATGAGGAGGCGAGTAGTTAAGGGATGATGCTGTAGAGAGGTCGGGTGAGGAAAATTCGTCGAGAAGGAGGAGGGGGAGGAGCGAGGATTGAAAAGAGAGAGGGGGCGGATGGATGGGATGGATAAAGGATGGATGGATTCAATAGATAGATGATGGATGGTGATGGATGGATGATGATGGATGGATGGATGGATGGATGGATGGCATGGATGGATGGCATGGATGGATGGATGGATGAGGATGGATGGATGGAATGAATGAATGGATGGATGGATATGGATGCGATTATGGATGGATGGATGGATGATGGATGGATGGATGGATGGATGGATGGTATGGTGGGATGGATGGATGGGATGGATGATGATGGAGTGGATGGATAGGATGGATGTGGATGGATGGATGGATGGATGGATGGAATGGATGGATGGATGATGCGATGGATGGATGCGATGGATGGATGATGGATTATGATGGATGGATGGATGTATGGTCATGGATGGATGGATGGATGGATGGATGATGGATGGATGGATGTGATGGAGGATGGATGGGGATGGATGGTATGATGGTGGATGGATGGATGGATGGATGGATGGATGGATGGGATGGATGGATGGTGGATGGGATGAGATGGATGGAATGGATGGATGGATGGATGGATGGATGGATGGATGGATGGATGGATGGATGGATGGCATGGATGGATGTATGGATGGATGGATTGTCTTATGATGGATGGATGATGATGGATGGAATGCGATGGATGGGATGGATGGTATGGATGGATGGATGGATGGATGCGGATCGTGGTGGGAATGGATGGACATGATGGATGGATGATGATCAGGAATGATGGATGAGGATGGAGGATGGATTAGATGAATGGATGGATGGATGATGGATGGATGCGTGGATGGATGGATGGATGATGGATGGTATGGATGGATGATGGATGGATGGATGATGGATGGATGGGATGGATGGAGATGGATGGATGGATGTGTGTGTGTGTGTGTGTGTGTGTGTGTGCGTGTGCGTGTGTGTATGTGTGTGCGTGTGCGTGTGCGTGCGTGTGCGTGCGTGTGTGTATGTATGTATACAGTGTATTTATATACCGATTACCGAATAATAATAATAACGTTCAAACTACACACTTGTCTAGTTATATCCCTGGAAAGTGAAATGCTTGTCATATACAGTAATAATTCCTGTGTCAAGCCGACCTAAATAATATTGGTAAATATCTTGCTCTGCCCTATATGCGCGATAACAACTTTCACACTGCACGTGTATACGCTCCGCTAATATTTGCGCGCGCCTCATCCTCCGGCGCTTCCAACGCGCCTGCAACGTTTGCCAGGGTGAAGAGAGGAGAAGGTATTTACGGGGCCGTGGCGAATTTTTAACACTCACATCACGCCGTTGACGTCCTCATCGGGGCTGAAGTTCCACGGGTTGATGTAGGCCGTGTGTAGCTGGTTGAACACGAAGGCCCCGCCTCCGAAGCCAGCGACAACCACGCCACCTGCCAGACCCTTGCTGTCAGGAAACCACTGCAATAGAGAGCGAGCGAGAAAGAGTTATCCGTAGTGCAAACACAGACATCAGCTGCCTTCAAAGTTACAGATGAAGCTACTGGATGTATAGAACAGCAAAACCAAACTACGTAGTGCTGCCTCAGGCCGCCGCTTCCGCCACAGTTACAGTTACGAGGGGGTTAGAATAGAGAAACGATGCTGACTGTTTGAGTAAAAAACCCATTCAGCAATTACAAGCACCATTGTATAGTTATACCAGCGCAGCCCTTCACTCCGTCACGACAGCGTAGACTGTACTACTGTAACTGTCACTGTCACTGCATGTCACTATAGACCTCGCTTTCTCGCGACAGGATTCCCCAATCAATCCAATCAATTAATCTCCCGATTAAGCGGTGAACAACCTTCATAATGATTGTTTTTCAAATACATGTCGTTTAAGCGACGCGCCCTATCATCCGTGGCCCGATAAAGCGAGGACCATTGTAGTGTGTAAGAATCAGAGTTCATCACATCTACTCAATACTTGATTAGTCAGATACGGGCGTAGACGAGGGACAGAATAATGGAGGCTGTATGAAGTAATATATAACCTCTCACACGTTACCTGCATGGCGCAGTGCAGCGTCGGTGAGTACGCCAAACCCACTCCTACGCCAAACATCACTCCACATGTCAGCAGCCATAGGTAGAACGATTGGCCCAATGTTACGTAGCCCAGAGCGAACCCTGCACTATAGAACAGAAGACGTAACGAAACCGGTAAGAGCAACGTACGTGACATAAATGATAGGATACTATAGTCTCATTACACTCCCCATGGTTCAACTCACCCGCACCTAGCGTATCCCGTGCCTGTTTTTCGCTGCCGCAGCTATCACTATCTCTCTTCCGGGGCTTCATGTGTATCATGCCTCGATCTTCTCCTGCGTTTGACCCACAAGTTGCTCCGTGGCTGTCCAGCTGGATGCCGATATATTGACCCCATGACGTCACTGTCTCATCACTGACCTCGCGTTTAGATTTAATTCACTTGCCATGACCGGGTCATGTATTTAGTCGGAAGGAAATACAAGTGAGTGAAACGAATGCATTTAGCTGCTTATCCAGCCACCTAGCAAGCTGGAACACCCCACTCTTTACCTGGCTATCTAGCCACATAGCAAGCTGACCCACCTCACTCCTTACCTGGCTATCTAGCCACAATCCATCCATCCTTTTATCCATCCATCCATCCACCCCTCTCCTTTTCATCCTCCTCCTCCCCCTCCTCCTTCTCGACGTAATTTTCCTCACCCCACCCTCTCTACATCCTCATCCTTTAACTACTCCCTCCTCATCATGAACCCTCTTCCTTCTCTTCCACCTTCTTCTACTCCTCCCCTCCTCCCTCCACTGCTATCCTAAATTATAGCTGTACTTGTACTAAGCTTCTCTAATTTGCTAGGTTAGATTTCACCAGTTGCTGTCCGATAACGGCAGCTTTAGCCTACGTATACGTACTTACAACCCAAGGCTGCACAACGAGGCATTTTGCAATGCACGACGCACAATGCACGACGCTCGCACGCTCGCACGCACGAACGCACGCACACACACACGCTAGAGCGACGGGTGTACAAACATGGCCGCCGGTGTGCATCCGGTGACATCACCTCTCTGTGCGCGCAGAAGTACTTTTGCGCGTACGCGTACGCGTAAATTCGTAGGCGTACGCGTGATATCGTTGTTATCAAGAGCTAATAATAATAATATTTAATAATAAGAGCTAGTATTATTAGCTCTTGTTGTTATTTAAAGATCAGTGCGTGACCCGTTGTGCTCTGCGTCATCGTCACATACTCAAAAGCACAGATCGTAGTGTACGTATAGATAGCAGCCGCAGCTGCTGTCGTCAGCTCGTACCCACAAGCCATATTATGCTGGCTGGCTTATTAACGAGTTGCTCGTGCAGGTAGGGGACGCGGGAAGATCAGGATTGTAGCGAGTCAATAGGGGCCGGGGCCGGGTGGTCGCAGGAGAGGGGTGGGATGAAGCGAGGTGGAGTAGAAACTGTTCGATGTTTCCCTCTGAATGTATGTTGGTCTTCACACAAACCTCCGTAAAATCCGAAGCCATAGACTTTGCTAGAGCGCTACCATGGACATACCTGTGTCTTGGAATAAAGGCGTGAATCTAACACGTGGCAGCGATATGCATTTAAAACGGAAAAACTGCATCTACGTTCAAGAGGCACGATGCCCGTGCTGCCACATACCTTGTAGAGATTGGCGACAAAGAAAATGCCTTGGTCACCGGTAGCAATGATGATCCATAGAGTCCAGAAGGAGCGAGTTCTCAGTACAGCCAGCGGTGGAACGTCTATACCCACTGAGGACGCTTCCGCTACTAATGGTTTCTTTTGCTCTCCATTCTCTACCAGTGGTTTCTTCTCCTCATCCTCTTTCTCCTCATTCTTTTCGTTTGCATAATAAACGCATAAACACAGACACGCGTGTGTATTTAGTTATCTCCTCCATCAATCCAGCGAGCTTCCTTTCAATCGCTCACATGTGGCGCTAGCGATATATGCACGAGTGCTGTCGCATATCGACCTCGAGTAAATGTATCGATAATGATATTTGCTTAATGATAGATATTATTTGATTAATCCGAGGAACAAAAGGGCCACTGCGTACTATTATTCATCTTGAGCTCTATGCCCATGACTAGACTACCGCCGACGCTTAGATTAACAAATATAGCTTCTGAATTAGCGCTTAGCTTAGTTATAAACTCATTAATACTACAATAAAGACATTTAATAATTATTTTAGGCACTATGACTTGGTTACGCACCAAAGCGACGGTAGGTGGCGCGCTGAACAGCAGGCAGCAGCCAATGAGTTGGATGACAGCGTATATACCACCGAACACAAGGAAGAAGCTTGGAACTCTGTCCAGTAGTTGCTTCTGGGAGAAGTACCTGCATGTCGATGTGACGTGACACGAGCATCATTATGCACATTCACGACTGCCCAAAGCTTCCAACGATAATCTGTATTATTCCTACTAAAGGCCAATAGAAAATAGATGAGATAAATATATGGTAGGAACAATAATACCAGATATAAGAAATATAAATTTATACTAGAATATAATAGTATAGTTCCGCTGTATTTTAGTTGTCCTAATTCCTAGTTCTTCGCTGTTTCTCACGCCACGCTCAATGCGGTTTGCTATGCCATATTCCGCACTGTGGCTCTATGGTTCATGTTCATACAATAGGTACATACATATACCAGTACACACACACACACACACACACACACACACACACACACACGCGCGCGCGCGCACGCACGCACGCACGCACGCGCGCGTGCGTGCGTGCGTGCGTGCGTGTGTGTATATGTGTGTACGTGTGTGCGTGTGCGTGTGCGTGTGCGTGTGCGCGTGCGCGTGTGCGTGTGCGTGCGTGTGCGGCCAGCTACTGCCCATATGTGGGCTAGATAGCCAGCGTAAGATGAGGTGGGTGAGCAGCTTGCCTATGTGGAGATAGCCAGGTAAGGATGAGGTGGGCTAGCCTGGCTAGGTGGGGCGCTAGATAGCCAAGTAAGGAGTGAGGTGGGTCAGCACTGCTAGTGGCTTAGATAGCCAGTAAGGATGGTGAAGGTGGGTCAGGCTGCTAGGTGGTCTGGATAAGCAGCTAATGGCATTCGTTTCACTCACTTGTATTACGCTGCGCGACTAAATACCAATGACCGCGTCATGGCAAGTGAATTAAATCTAAACCGTGCGAGTCATGATGGGACCAGTGACGTCATGGGTCAATATATCGCATCCAGCTGGACAGGCCACGAGGCAACTTGTGGTTGCAAACGCAGGAGAAGATCGAGGCAATGATAACACATGAAGCCCGGAAGAGAGATAGTGATAGCTGGGCGTAGCGAAAACAGGCACGGGATACGCCTAGGTGCGGGTGAGTTGAAGCCAGTGAGTCGTACATAAAGCTATAGGTGTTCTAATCATTATGTCACGTACGTTGCTCTTACCGGGTTCGTTAACGTCTTCTAGTCTCTATAGTGGCAGGGTTTTCGCTCTGGGGCTACGCTAACAGTTTGGCCAATCGTTCTACTGTATGGCTGACTGACTGTGGAGTGATGTGTTGGCGAGGAGTGGGTTTTGCGTATCTCACCGACGCTGCACTGCCCATGCCGCCAGCGTAACGTGTGAGAGGTTTATATCTACTTCATACAGCCTCCATTATTCTGTCCCTCGTCTACGCCCGTATCTGACTATCCACGTATTGAGTAGATGTGATGAACTCTGATTCTTACACACTACAGATGGTCCTCTCGCTTTAATCGGGCGCACGGATGAACGGGCGCGTCGCTTAAACGACATGTATTTGAAAAACATCATTATGAAGGTTGTTCACCGCTTAATCGGAGCATTAATTGATTGGATTGATTTGGGAATCCTGTCGCGAGAAGCGAGGTCTATAGTGACATGCAGTGACAGTGACAGTTACAGTAGTACAGTCTACGCTGTCGTGACCGAGAGTGAAGGCTGCGCTGGTAGAACTATATACAATCGGCTGTCTCTGTAATTGCTGAATGGGTTTTTTTCACAGTCAAACAGTCAGCTTCGTTCCTATATTCTAACCCCTCGTAACTGTAACTGTGGCGGAACGCGGACCGGGGCCTGAGGCGCACTCAAGTTAGTTTGGTTTTGTCTGTTACTATACTCCAGTAACTTCATCTGTACTTTGAAGGCAGCTGATGTCTGTGGTTGTACTACGGTATTACAGTTGCATCAGCACTCACAACTTTCTTTCTCCGC